ACACACACACACACACACACACACACACACACACACGGCTGTAGCCACCCATTTCTGACATTAATGAAGATATCCTTGACAAACTGTTCTCTTTCCTTCCTCTAAAAAAAGGTGACAGCGTGAGGCTTTAGGCACACACACACCTGAGAAACACGTGAGTTTAACACATCCTGTGTTGCAGTGCAGCTGGATGTTTGGATCATATTGAGCATACGCAGACATTAGACTTTGTCGTGGAGGATGGATATTTTCTGTCATCTGTTGTTGTCCCTTAACAACTCCCTAGAAGCCCAAGATCAACACCATCAAGGATTTGGCTGCTGCTCATTAAACACACGATCACAAGGTGAATTATCCAAGACAGCAGCGCCCTCAAGAGGAGAAGAAGGCAGAGTGCAGGGATGTTACTGTGATTGCAATAACGCAGTACTTTTACTACATTTTAGGAGTAAACGCTGTATTTTTAAGTGCACTTCAATCGATAGTTTTTGTTTTTTCACCCTTTTTTTCTGCTTGTCCAATTCCACTAGAAATGAGTGCATCTGTAAATGTGAAATTTACAGTGGAGCTTGGAATTGTGATTTAAAGGCCAAACAGCCACAAGCTCCCAGAATGCATTGCTATTTACAGAATGTTACTGTGTTAAAAAAAAAAAAAATACAGCAAAATCATGCTGTGATTTTTGCAGGAAATCATTAGAACATATAATGTTGGGTTTTTTTAGTCTGAGTACAAAGTCAGCCAGCTACTATTTATGAAGTTTAGGAGTGTTGGTGGTGACTAATCCTAAGGATTTATTGGCCTGAATTCTTGTCTTCAGTCAGCCTCGGTAACACTGATGAGATGAAGATGACTACTAAAAATCAAAGCTATGTTAAACCTTTTTTTCATGAGTAAAACTGGACTTCAACAGCTCCACAGGTTGACACTTTTCCCAACTGACAACACGGATAAGGCTTCAGAGTGACACTTGGCTCTTTGAAGTAAATTTCAATCTCTTTTCCTGATGTTTATCAAGAACGTATATTCACTCTTGATAAAATGTACAAGACAAGAGCAATGACTCATGATCACATTTAAACAGCAGCATTTGCTCCTGAGCCACACCCGTCCAACAACAGCTAACAGGAAAAACTAGGAGTATTATTTGACAGCGACACAGAGTGCCACAGAGCCTCACTGTTATATTGTAGCTGATGTTATTACCTGCATGATTTGCTTTTCTTGTGTGTGTGTGCTTTTCTTTACTGGAATAAATATATTTCTGCTATCATGCACATATTGATGCTTAAAGGTTTAAGAGAATGCAGGAAATGATGCGCAGAACGTAGATCTGTGTCCATGATTGTTTTTAAGAAATTGGGAAATTCTATCAGAATTTTTTTTAAAACAAACAAAAGCATCTGATAATTCAATGAATTATAATCCCACCATTTGACCTTAGAACTGAAGAAGCTTCTCGGATGAGAGGTGAAACGTCTTCAAGTAACTTAAAGAAGTCCAGACGCTTTTCTTTGCAAGCTCCTTTGACTACGATGACCTGGATGACTGAGAACCTTCACAGACAATGAATTATAATGATTTTAATGTGCACAGACCCACCAGAATTCTGTAAACATAAAAAAGAATGTTTATTGGTGACTTAATAGGGCTAGAGCTGATAATAAAATGTAGTGTGGTTGCAGCAGTAAATATATTTGATTTTACTGAGTGGCTGTAATGATAGTGTCTCACATGTCTTGCTCACATTTCTCAAAGTAAACAGGTTGGAGAGTTAAAGAAGCAATGTTTCAAAAATCACTCATGTGCTGCTTCCATCTATTACACCAACATATTTCATCGATAGTGTTTTTTGACAGCACACAGTTATACATTTACAGCGATACACTGGTGAATTTTTCACTCCTGCCGATTACTGTGCCACATCAACACCCCCCCGCCCCTGCGTCCATTGTCTTCATTACTCTGAGTGAAACTTGCTTTCTGGAAGGTAACGCAAACTGAGAATCCACACGAGTGGGCAGTGCCTTTAAAAACACGAGTGGCTATGACTGTCTGCGTCTCCACTAACGAGCTGCTCTCATTCAAAGACGAGCGCTCCCATCTTCCTCCTCCTCTTCTTCTCGCTCACGCACCCACCTCCATCTTTCCCACTCCAGCGTTGTCAAGGCAACAAACCTTTACATCGAAGCTGTTAGTCATAAGTCCACGCAGACAACCCCCTCCCACCCCTCCCTTGACGCTGTCGTGACGTTTTATCACGTAAAATCTCATTTTCATGATTCATTTTTCTTGGAATCCTCTGTGTGAGCTGAGTGTGTACATCAGAGTTTCATCATCCTCATAATAATATTATTATTAATCACAAACATATATAAACATAAGTATTGCTTTCCACTGCTTATCGCCGTCCTAAAGTCACGTGGGCTTTTTTTTCTAATAAGGCCACCCAAAACAAACACACACACCCACACACAGGCGCACTTCAGCCCGGTGGCAGGCAGGGAGGAGGAGGAAGGCGGATCTGTAAAGTCCACTCTGCAGGACTTCCTCGCTACAGCCGAGCAGACCCTGCAGCGCAGTAAGTACTCCACGCTTCCTGTCAACCTTGTGCTCTGTGCCTTTCCACAGTCACTGTGAACATAACTCAGACACAGCTAAAACAGGCTGGAGAGTCCCGTTGATCCCACAGGTAACAGGTGACAGCGCACCGTGGGAGCGTGAACACGACTGTTTGACTTGCTGTCATTCTTCCCGTGTGTGTGCGCGCGCGCCGTGTGCGTGGAAGGTGAATTTTAACAAAGAGGAGCTGATAATGGAGTTTGAGCTGCAGTCGTGGAAATCCGTTGGATTCGGCTGTTCTGTGCTCCAGTCCTCATGTAACAGCTGTGACACACTTCCTGTTATGCATTGGGAGCGGCATTGATAGCTTGTGACTTTTGGGTTGATATGAAACATTATAAAACACAGCAGACATGGGCTCCTGCGTGTTTTTATTTTTTAAATCTTCTTTCAAACCAGTGTGGTGCTGGCTGTGTTCGTGCCATGGTGATTGTGTTCTGTAACAGTGACATCAGGGACTTTAAGATCCTATTGTGAAATGAAACAGACTTTTTGCTCCTTTTGTGCGTCAGTAGTTTAGCGCAGTTCAGAGCCAAAGACGTGTAAGTACATGAAGGAGCCATTACAAATAGGTTATTCCACTTTATGCTATTTTATACCTTTTTTTGCATTTCTTAGACGCACATTAGGGAATGCCTAACAGCATGAAAACATCAACCCAAAGAAGAAGCATGGTGGCATCAGGATTTAGGCTTGTCCAGCTGATGTTTAGCAGAATTTCAGTGAGAGCTTAAGAGCAACAACCACAAGGTGACCAGAGACCATAGAAAGTCAATGACGTTTAAGTGACTATGGGTGAAATAAGTGCTGGCACCAGAAAGTGGGCGGGACCCAAGACAACATTTTCTAAACTTCCAGGCAAACATCTGAAACTACTTCCTGTGAAACAGAAGGAGAACACCTGTTGCCTATTCGCTGTCCTATGTCAATCAACAGTGTTCTGCGTTCCCATTGGCTGTTCCTTCAATGCTTGCCTCAGAGTTGAGAATAATTAAACTTGGGACCAACAGCTATTTTAACTAATGCGACTACTAACATGAGAGCAAATGATAACAGATATATGTCAGGATAGCAAATCCATTAATTCAGGCAACCAGAGCCTGGAATGGCCATAAACAACCGACCATCAGTGACAAAGTAGAGCACAGCAGGTGATTTCCTTCCCTTGGTGGACAACCATTAAGAAACTGGTTCAGAGAGTAAGAATGGTCTCCTTTAGCAGCAGTAAACTTTTTTTTAACCTTGTTATTGCTGCTAAATGGGGGTTCATTGTTGCATTGCGTTGACCATGAACACCCTTTCATGGTAACGGTATTCCTTGAGGGCTGTAGCTTCTCTCAGCAGGAAAATATGCCCTTCCACAAAGTGAATATCTGTGGGAAGCGCTGGACAAACAATTCCAGTCTCTGGAAGCCCCAACTCGCAACTTACAAGTCTAAAGGATCTGTTGCTAACTTCTTGGTGCACCACACCTTCAGAGGTCGAGTGGAGTCCATCCTTTAGTGGGTCAGGGCTGCTTGGGCAGGAAAATGGGACCAACACAATTATAGGCATGATCAGACCTAATGTTATGCCTGATCAGTGTGCATGTGGTACTTGCATGTTAATATAATTGACATGCTCTATGCTTATTTTATACACTAATACGGCATCTTATGAAAAACTTACCCAAGAAACTGAAACAAACTAACCCATAACTCTTCTCATTCCTTATTGTAAGGAATGAGAAGAGTGTCGTTGCAGGATATTAGCACACGATAACAGACATGTCATGATGGCCTAATGTATGTGTAGTGCTTTTTGTTACCAGTGTATGAAGGGTTTAGAGCCTGATTTTATGTTCTAGCAGGCCTGAATCCTGAAACAATCACAGAGGGCATTCAGTATATCTGTTTTTAGATATTTGTATATATTTTTATAGATGGAAGACTGTTCAGCTAAATCCTTTTAGCATGTTAGACGGCCCCTTGGTGAGTCTTTTCACTGCCCAGTCCTTGACACTGGCTGGTGAAAGACAGACCCTAAAGATAGAATACAAATGCAGGAGTGATGTTGGCTGATGTTATGTTTCATGGGTACAGATTTTCTCGTACTGCAAAATTTCTTTTTTCAAACTCTTTATAATGTGACATGATGAAAAATAATGTTTGTGAGGTACTTTGTTGATGCTCTGTGTTTATCTTTGTCTAACCCATCCCTCTAATTGAATTTACTTTGATTTTATTCAGCAAATGGTGCAGCCTAAGGCATCGGTTCTAACTGCTCTGTTCCTGGCTCTCAGATCATGGAGGACTCTGCCCCCCGTCGTAGTCGCGCTGCGTTTGCGGGGCTGGTGGGAGTGTCCCAGGTGCTGGGTTTGGCATCGGTGGTGCTAACCGGTGTGTGGATGGGTCACTTCCGTGGAGGTTTTGCCTGGAATGGCTCAAAGCAGGAGTTTAACGTCCACCCTCTGTGCATGGTGCTGGGCCTGGTCTTTCTGCATGGAGACGGTGAGTCCACACTGATCAATGACTGTACAGGTAGAACCACAGCCTAATCAGGATGTGGCTCAAACTGAGCGATGCATCTCTGTGATTGTATTATCTTTTTTTTTATTGTTAAAAAAA